GAGAGAGAGAGAGAGAGAGAGAGAGAGAGAGAGAGAGAGAGAGAGAGAGGCCGGAGGATTGGGAAAAGCTTAAAAACAGAAGGACTGCGAGTCTGGAAAAAGGGAGGCTGAGAGAAGACATCAGAAAGCCAGATTACAGACACAGAAGGCCCACATCCATGACCCGCGGGGACGAACTTAGAACAAATGAAAGGGAACAGCTCTTCGCATGATGGGGCATTGTCTTGTGAGAGTGATTACCGCTACGGGTGCTGGAAGCTAAAGACATCAATACAGGAATCTATCTGCTCAAAAACCCAAAAGGGAATTTTTTTGACTTTCTGCAATTTGTGAAGCTACGTGTTTCATATTGAGCTCCTGCCAAAAAAAAAAACAACTAAAAAGATTGGCCCAAATATACAGGCAACTAAGAGGCTCTGAGAGCTGAGAATCTGGCCAGACATTTCGGCAGCGCTACGAGGCTGAGGACCCCACGAGTCATCAGGTATCCGGGAGGGACCCTCTAACCATCACAAGCCTTCGTTTTGGACTCCACTGAAAGGAGAGCCAGAAATAGACCAGCCTTCGCAAACACAGATGCCTGATTTCACACCAACTCAGCCTCTGACAGGGTGTGGGCAAAACCACCTCTGTGCACGTTCCTGATAGAAAAAAAAAAGAGAGAGGGAAAAAAAATAGAAAGGAATGCTCTTGGATGATGATAATATGACTCAGACTTCAAATTCTCTCTGCGGTTTTCCCATTATAGAATTTCTTGCACGCAGTCAACAATAAACTAGCGTGTAGCAAGACGAGAGACCACATGAGTGAGAATAAAGAGGAACGAAATCAAGCCACAAGCCCAGGTCCACATGGAACCCAGGTATACGATTTATCGGGCATAGACTATAAGTTGCAAAAAGGGGCAAGTTGGAGAATTTCAATGGAGTATTGACTCTCCCCGCTCTTAAAAACGGGATGTTCACTGGAACTAAAAACACACTAACTGGCATGAAATGTTCAGGATGTGTGTTCAGCCACTAACTAGAAATAGTCGGAGAGAAGATCACTTCACTAGAAGGCAACCCAGCAGCAGAAGCATGGAGAGCACATTCAGAAGCGCCAGGATGTACGAGACATGGAGAAAAGTCCTACGATCATGTGATGGGAAACACAAAAGAACAGGGGAATGAAAAGAGGAAGAGAGAGAGAGATACAGAGAGAGAGAGAGACTGGGCAGAAGGAAGACAGTTGCCACAAGTGCTCCCAACCCCAACTAAGATAGCTCCAAACAATATATCATAATCCCAGAGCTATGATTATAAAACTGATAAGAAAACAAAAACAAACAAACAAAAAACACCAAAGCCCAAGAGAAATATCGTAAAAGCACCCAGAGCAAAAAGACGTATTCCCCTCACGTGTATAATACACATCAGATTGGAAGATGAATTCTCAGAGAAGTAATAGAAATCGGACGATTATAAGACACCATTAGCGTGCCGCGCTGCAAGGCAAGCAGTCACCAAGCGAGAAGGCTGCACGCAGTGAGAGAGGGTCCCACATGCAGGAAACACGAAGGCATGTGCACACACGCCAACAACGGACGG